TTTTTTTTTTTTTTACCCCCCTTTCATTAATTCCTCCGCTGCCATCTGCGCACCGGTCCACCTCACTTCACCCATCTGTCAACACACACCACCGGCTTCGCCTATGTGTCAGTGGAAGGAGAGGAAATCCAGCTGAAAACCACTGAGAGAAATAACGTTTTCCGCGAGGTTTCTCACCTTGTGTCGCCGCCAACAATCGATATGGACGAGGACAATCACGGTAAGGCTGCTTTTCTCTTTTTTTCCTGCCCACAGTGGTTTCCTCTCAGCCCTCTCTGAGCAGGGATGGAGGATGGATGGATGGATGGATGGATGTGTGTGAGTCAGGGAGACATGAGGTAGTCTCGTGTTTTTCTTTTTTTAAATCGAAAAACAACCAGCTGTCATACAACAAGATATCAACACAATAACGGAGCATTTCTCCGAGATGCAACACAGACCCTGTTGTTGTTGTTGTTGTTGTTGTTGGTTTGTTTCATGCTTTCCAGGTGAGACTCCTCTGTAGACACATATTAAGGGTAAAAAAATCAAATAAAAAAAAAATGCGCACAACCACATTTATTTTTTCCACGCATGCACCTTTTTTCCTGTGTTTGATGTCTTGCTGTCAGGCTTTGAAGTGTCTCTCACTATCTTGTGGCTCTGTTTGAAGCCTGTAAACTGGTGGAAATTGATAAGATATGCGACTGGCAGGCTTCCATGTGGAGGATAGACCCAGCTGGATGTGCATCCTTCAACAAACATATAAGAAAATGAATGAAAATCAAGTCTCTGCAGTGGTATTTGAGGAGTACAGTGACACACATTGCTAATTTTAAAGTCAATATGAATTTACTACAAATCAGGGCTGCACAATATTTAAAAAAAAAACAGCTAAAATTGCAATATTTTGCTTTTTTGCTGTTTGTGTTTTTATAAGAAAAAGCAGATTTGTCACTATAATTGGAAATAATTCTATAATGATTGTGGCTAGTGGATTGTATCTGCAGTGACAATTAAAAGTAATTGTAAAAAAGCTTAAAAAAAATAAAAAATAAAAAGAAGAAGCCATTTCAAGTCTTTCTCATTTGGTGTAACGCTGGCAAATGCTGATCTGGCTTTGCATCCATCATACAGAGCTTTGTAGTGCTGATTTAAATGCTTTAACTGAAGACACTGACAGTAAAGTACCTGTTTTCAGTCAACATCATCCTTTCTGTAGCAGAAATATTTCCATACAACTCAGATTGCATTTTTCTTTTGCAATCAAATCTTCCTTTTCTCTCCTGTTCCTCGCTCATGTTGCTGAACACATGTTAAGCTTTCATGTCAACTAACTGCTTGTCTGGTAAATTGAGTTTAAAAAAAGTAGCTGTATCCGGAGTTAATTATGTTATTTAAGACAGACCTCTCTTGTAGATTAGTCATGGAAAATTAGGCAGTGCTTTCTTTTTGTATCAAGCAGCCAAAGAAGTCCTTGTATGATGTGTTTCGCTTGATTTTCCCGACTTCACAGTGCACTTCTTGCAATGTGACTATTGTGCACGTTGCAATGTCGATGTTTAAACAGTATGTTGTGTATCTCTGTAGCAAACACTGCAAGATTTTAAAGTGGAAGTATTTGCAACAGTTGTGAGAAAACTAAAAGCTAAAATCACTTTAAACATTAACAGGCACAGAAAACTGAGGAGCTGAGCTACAATGTGTGATTTTAATTATCTATGTGTTTGCAGGTTATTGGAAAAAATTTGTCTTATAATGCTCTAAAGGCTTGTAATAGCTTCCCAAACTGTTAACCTCACATCAAACTAGGTGGAATATTAATGGGAGAAAATGCCTTAAAGTACAAAAAGATCACTATTGACTTGAGAATGCAGTTTTTCTGTAGCCACAGTGATTCTTTAGGTTGAATGTGAGATGGTGACAAAGCGTCACTGATACCCATTTTGGGGCCGATACCCATTTTGGGAAAAGGGAATTCTGATGTCTATATGAAGAGTTCATCTGCAAGAACAGATAACTCCATTTTTGTAGATTTTCAGAAAAGTTGTTTTTTGTTGTTTGCTTGAGATCATATCAATCAAACTGAAGTTGAGTGGATTTGACTCAGTAGAAATGACAAAACTAGAGATAACTTAAGTTTGATTGATATTGTCTCAGGTAGACGATGGAAAAGTGGGTTTTCTGAAGGTTTGTGAAGATGGAGTTTTCTGTTTTTGCAACTGAACTATCTATATTAGAATTAATTTGAAAAGGAAATATGATAGTCGTTGTTATTACATTTGCAGCAACTAGTTAGCATCTTATGGTTTGCACTAATTATGCAGGCACTGCTTGACTTTGCACCACCATCCGCTCACCTGTGATATGTACTCTGCTACATGTGCTGCAGACAGTGCTGAGAGTATTGTAAATCATAGAGTCAGCTCTGCTCTGCTGGACAAACTACGTGATGATACTGTTTCTAAACTACTCCAAGCATCCTTCTCTGTATAATGTTCTGTAAAAGAAAGTTTTCATTTTGGCGTATAGTGATATGATCGGCCAGCATCAGCCGACTGATAAATCAGTTCGACTTTACTATCTACAAAGAGTGTTGATGTTTTCACAGAACTGGCCATGACCTGAGTATTTAGCACTACACTCTTTTTCCATGAATTGAACCTGTGCAGCTGCATGTAATATAACCCAGTTATGGTGGCTGCAGGTCTGAGTCAATTATTTTATGGTGGTGTCTTTTCACACACATGCAGGATGCTGCTGAGCAGATAATCCAAACCGTCTTGTGGGCTCACAGGCTTCGAGGCTGTGTAATGTAAACAAATGGTTATAGTCTGATAACAGTTTGGCAGTTAAACTGGGAGATTAGCAGAGCCAGGAGAGACACTTGTATGAACTTCTGCTTTTTTTCCCCCTTCCACATTATGCTATACAGCGAGTAGGTCTGCAAGCTCTGCGCCGAACATTGAATAGACGTGAGGATGACCCAGTTTTGGTCTTCTACCCTATTTTCCTTGTGTTTTGTAGGATTTCCATAGCTTTGTTGTGTGTATTCTTGGCTTCCAGAGGATGAACCTCGCTGGTTTCTCATTCCCTTTAGTGCCACTTATAAACAGGAATTTATCATGCCCACGCAACAACTATTTATATTTTGGCATCTTAATGAACTTCACTCCAAAAAAAATCAATTTTGCTCAATCAATATCTCATTCCTTCCTTGTATGCTTCAATGGAGAGGTTCTAATATGTCTAAATGTAGAGGTTTGTTAAAAGGAAATGCACTTCAAAGTCACAGTTTAGGAGCTGACCTGTATCCTCTTTGTAATCTAACCCGTGAGAACATGCTATCACCATATCATTTCCCCCTCAAACTCACATGTGCTGCGAGCAAGCTGCTCATACGAGGCCAGTCAGAGAGATAGCGTTCACTGAATCATGTGGCAGGAAGCACAGAAGGCGCTCTGTCTGCGATTAAACTGCAACGATACGACACCGTGCGGAGTGAACTGTTAAAATAACTTACCATAAATGTTAAACTCGATTGCTTACTCACGCTCTCGCTGACCTGCAAACATCACTTAACATTGTTCGCATGTACACCTTGATACGCCGGTGTCACAACACGGGCACTCGGTGCTAAATCTGTCTCTAACAGGCACTTAACAGCAGCCAAAGTCAAAGTTAGACTTTCATCAAGAGAAGCTTGTCAGAGCTCAGAGCAGAGTAATGCAGCGCAACATATCAAAGACATGTGTACGTTGTGGGGGATTCTTTGTGCTTCAAGGTGTCTGAATTCCTGACTCTCCTGCAAAGTATACGACCAAACAGGATTTTTTTTTTTTTTTACATAGGTTAATGTCAGTTTTTCCCCCCCAAACATCAAGATGTAATTATTTATCTGAGCCCCTACACATTCTGTTTAATGTAGATCAGATCCCCTTTCTCGGGGACTTTAGGCTGCAAATCCACCCACTTTCAAGCTGCACTTTAAAGCTCCAAGGTTCTGTTTTGCATGCCAACAAATGTGCACATTATCCCCATGTGTACACATAACGGACCTCCTTCTCAACGGCCGTATGTACAGCGTGCATGCAAACTGAACAGCATATGTTCAGAGCTGGGGCTATGATTTATTCTGCATCGGTGAACCGGTCTGAGAACAACAGAGGAAAGAGCCAACAGATGCCGTCATATTTTATAGGATTAAGAAATAGTATACAAACAGCTAATGCACCCACAATCCACCTCTCATGAAACAGGATAGTGAAGGAAGGAGAGTTGGGGATGTTTCTGAACTAAGAGGCCTTTTGCTGCTAGAATCAATTTTTTTATACTGATGACTGTTAAATGGGGTTGTTTATAAGGATGATCCAATAAAGAATTATCATGTAGATCTTCAATTTTTTTAAAGCTGAAAGCAGAAGCACACACAAAAAGTTGTTAAAGAATTTGATTAGGGCGTGACGACTGATCGGAACAAGTAGGATTCTGTTCCACTTGGGATCAGCTGGTGTCGGCCATCTGCAGATAAAATCATACAGTGTGTGATATGTAGAAACTCTAACCTTACAGTTGTTCTCATAAAGGTTTTTATTAATAACACTTCAGTGTCAAAATATCGATGCAGCGATATATCGTAACACCTCCTCTAGTGATACACTGATGCCAAATGGTGATGTTTTGACTTACTGGAGTCACTACTTCCTGAACTTTCACGGTGATGCTGTTAGCTGGAAGAAGGTGAAGTGAATGGAAGCCGTGGTGAAGAGAAAGAAACTCACAGCATGAAAATGGCCGCAAATCAGAGAGCGAATTAACTGAGCTGACGCTGACAGCACAATGTAGTAAATAAATGCATGATAATATCTCGGTTTATCGTAGATGATTGTCTTGCAATGTAGAATCTCATTATTGTGATAGCATCGTTGTCGTGGGCAATGTGTCGCGAGTAACTCTGATTCTCACCCCTGTTGTCTGGAGGATTTATTAAGTTGTAATGTAAAGTTGAGTGCTTTTTCCTGACTATCGAAGAGTATAATCTGTGCAGGTTGGTGGAATAAATCTGTCTGTGTGGTTTCATCTAGTCTTCAGGTGTTTCCCTCCCGAGTTTTCAGGAGTGTTTAACTGTCTTTACACAGTTTTGCTTTAGCAGCCTTTTTTCTCAGTCTTGCTGCTTTCATTAGCGATGTCTCAAGACACCACGGGCAGCTGTTTCCAGCCAGAAAAAAAGATAATAAAGCA